GTCCCCTTTGCGCTCCCCTGGTGACCCAGCTGTCCCCAGACCCCTGCGACCACCCCGGCCGGCGCGCCCAACTTTCGGCGCCGCCAAGGCTCTGGCTGCCCTTCTCCCGGCCGCGGCTGCTCCAGAGCGCTCCGGAAAGTTTCTCGCGAAGTGAAAGAACTGAACTTTCTCTTTTGACTTGGGGCGCGAAAGATCGCTGGGGACAGAGTACTTCCTTCGGGCGCCCCGGTCCGCAGCCGTGGCGGGAACTGGGTGCGGGGTAGGTGTTGCGTACCCCCGCGAGCCGGGTCGGGCGCAGCCGCTGGGGGTCGCTCTGCGCACCCGGACCGCGGGTGAGGGAACCGCGAATGCGCGTTATCGGGACAAATTTGGAAGAGGGGAGAGCTGGTGTCTCGCTGTCCGGGGACCGAAGGCGAAGAGGGCTCCTGGTCCAGTCTGGCGCACACTTTTCTCGGCTACCTGTGGCGCTCCTCTTGGCTTTTCTTTTGGCGGGTCTGCGGGCTGGGGGTCGCTCTGCGCACCCGGACCGCGGGTGAGGGAACCGCGAATGCGCGTTATCGGGACAAATTTGGAAGAGGGGAGAGCTGGTGTCTCGCTGTCCGGGGACCGAAGGCGAAGAGGGCTCCTGGTCCAGTCTGGCGCACACTTTTCTCGGCTACCTGTGGCGCTCCTCTTGGCTTTTCTTTTGGCGGGTCTGCGGATTGCTTTGCGTCCGCGGAGATCCACGGGTGGGGACGGCGAGAACGTGGAGACCCTCGCAGGGACCTTGAGAGAGAATGGTTTGTGCTCTGGAACCGGGACTCAGAGCTTGTACGGTACTGGTGTGCTTGAGTCTCAAGTGTCCCCGATGGGAAGGATGGCCACATGCCACCCACCAGGAAGGGTCCTTTCTAGCTGAAGGTTTCCAGACTTTGGATTGGCAAAACTGAAAGAAAAAGAGGCCTTTGAGGGGATATAAATGGAAGGTCTCTGCTGTCACTGGCTACTCTGAGATAGTGGGGTAGAGGGGCTTTTCCACGGGGCAGCTCTGCCCTTTGTGGGCTCCTGTTCCTCAGGGTTGGTTCTGCCTCGCTGCCTGCACTCTTCCTTTGCAAACCGCTTTTTCTCCTAAACGTTTTCTTTTCCTTAATGTCTTCCGGCAGATCGTGTAGATAGTCTTCCAAAGAAAGGAGTTGCCAAATCCTTGCTGGAGCTGGGAAAAAAAAAAAAAAAAAAATCAAGGGCTAGAAAATCTGGATGTTGTTACAGTATGTCTGTGCCCGTGTGGGTGACAGTCACATCTGTGTCCCGGACTTAGAGTGGAGGAGGAATTTTGGTGACTGTCCTCCTTGGCTTGCCCTTCGCATCTGCCTTTGGATGATGCCCCTACGGGAGTCAGCCAGGTGGGGTGGGGTGGGGGTGGCCCTGTCTGGGTGGTTCCAGGGACATCAAAGGCCACCTCCACGCCCACTCTGTGGCAGCTGGGCCCTTGCTGTTATAAATCTTCCCTTTTTGTCCTTTAGCCTTTCTCTGCTTTCTTTCTCTCTTGGCCTTTTCTTCCATGAGCCCTCCCTGTGTTTGTCCTGTCAGTCTCCTCTGGTGGGCACCATAAAGAAGTGAGGACTGGTGTCCTCTCACCGGCCTGGCTAATGGCTCCCTTCTCCAGTCGCCTCTTTGGTTGACCTCTGGATCCCAGTTGTGACGGAGTGGGATGGCAGGGACTGGGCCACTCTGGCCTGATGGCCTTGGGCAGGTCGTTTCACCTTCCGGAGCTCTGCTTATTTAATTGCAAAAGGGAGATCTGACTTCTGTGTCTCTAATATCTGGTTCTCTGCGATTCCTTCTTTGTAAATATTGGCTGGGCTTGAGATGGAGTCAGTGGCTCCAAGTGTCACCCTGCCAGGGGAAGAGGAAGGACTGAGCCGGGAGACCGCAGAATCTTTTCAAGGGAGAATGGTTTCCTGGACGAGAGCTATTCATCTCTCAAGTACAGATGAGCAGTGAGGAAAGACTGGGGTCAGCAAGGAGCGAGGCAGAATTTACCTGGTGCCCTAGGAAGCCAGGGGAGGGTTAATCCAAGTACTCAGCCCGGCCAAATGACCTGAAGTTCTTCAGTCAGTTAATTCCTGACTATTAGGGCCAAACAGTGAGTTCCCCTGTGCGATGGGCAGATAGAGTCCCAGGAACGGTGTTTGTGCATCTCCTGTGTTCTTGCCCTTCGGGGAGACGGTCTTGATCTTGTTTTACAAACGGGGACCCAGGCTTGGAAAGCCTCAGTGGCCTGTGGGTGCTGCTCGGCTTGTGACCTTGAAGCCCGCCTTTCCAGCTCCAGCCTTCAGACTGGCCAGGAGAAGGAGCTCGGTAGGAAGGTTACTGACGGGTCAGTGGGGACGCCCTGGTGCCGGAATTTGTCTCGTGAGCAGCTCTTGGTGGGAAGAGATGGAAATTAAAAGTGAAAATTCAAAGTCATGGTAGTTACAAGGAAATAAAAGCACGGGAGCTGAATTTCCAGTTAAAGAAATACATGAGGGAGGTTTCACTTTCCTGAAAGTGATGAAACTGTCAGTGATCCGACATGATTTCTGATTGGCCATAATGAGGAGGCAGCGGAGCGCCGTGGCTTCCCTAATGGGAGCGAGCTATCTTACGGCAAAGGTAGGCAGTCAGTGCCGATCACTGAAAGCCCCGTACATTCCTTCTCTTCACTGAAGGGGATGTCAGAGAGTCTCAGCTTTCTAAAATTGTCTGAAAACTTAACTTCGTTTCCCGGTAGGGACACAGCAAGAGTGTGGGCACAGTTGCGTCCTCAGAGACTGAGGAAGGGGCAAACTAGAAAGTGCCCCAAGAAACTCAGCACTGGCTGAGAGAAAGCCCAGCTTGCAATCCACAGCTGCCTTCTCTTCAGAGAGGTGTTTACCACTTTTACAACCCAATGCAGCCACGAAGTCAGCTCACCTGATGCTTTCCATAAACATTCCAGGCCCCTGACATTCTCTAGTTTCTTTCATCAGAACTGCAGGCTTTACAAGGAGAAAAAAAGTTCCAAACAGCAGCCTGCAGCTCTGAGGGCTCACTGATGAGCCGAGCCAGGTGGCGAGATGGACACGCTTAACTACCGTACAATTCAAGCCCCGGTGGAGGGGAGAGCCAGCCAGTCCGCCAGGAGAAGGCCAGGCTGGCCCCAGGGGCTCTGGGTTCCATCCCTGGGTTCCTAGTAAAGTTGGAAAGGGAGAGGGGCATGATCAAATGGGGGAATCTTAAATCTCCGGCCTCAGAAGCCTAGAGGAATCCTCTCGGCATCCTAAGGTTATAGGATGGAGAGAAAAACTTCATTTCTGACTTGGGACTCCCAGGGCCTTTGCGGCAGAGACCCTGCAAGTCCTGGTGACAGTGTAGCTCCTGACCGCAGAATGTCCTTCAGGGCACATCATTGATTATCTCCTGCACTCTCCTCAAAGGGGAGCTAGGGCGATGTCACAGCCCTTCTTTTATACTGGAAAAAAAGATTTTTCACTGAAGGCTTATTACGAAGAGGTCTTCAGATCTTGATTTTCTGATCCCAGTCTGAAACCGTTGTGCATTGTTTGAAAGCCCATTTGAATGTACTCCCAGACAGGTGTGGCGGCGCACACCTGTAATCCCAACTACTAGAGAGGCTGAGGCAGGAGGATTGCAAATTCAAAGCCAGTCAGGCTAATTTGGGGAGAGCCTCTCTCCAAATACAGCCTTTTAAAAAGGCTGGAGATGTAGCGCAGAGCTCACTAGATTCAATCCCCAGTACCACACAGTCAATAGATAAACAATTAATTAAAAACAAACTTACTCCCAGAAGATGGGCAGCAGCTCACATGCGCACCCTGACACAGAAAGATAGGGAGTTCCTGAAGAGGGGTTCCTGTTTGCTCCATGAATCTTTGCCTGGTCTCCCCTTCCCATGTCAATTCTAGGCCTCCCACCTGCCCCCAGCACGCGCGCACACACACACACACACACACACACACATTTACCATTTCTTTGTTTTTGTAATATGAAATCACATTTGTTTTTGCAGTGTATAAGTTGAGAGCACGAGCCCTAGAGCCAGAGCTCCTAAGCCTGGCACTGCCCATATTAACTCTGACCCTGGGCAGATTGCTCGTCCCAACACTGGTGAGCAGGTGTGTGAAATGGGGCCGGGAAGTGGCCCATAGATTTTTCTGGGAGTGGTCCCGGCAGCAGGGAGGGACTTACGGGGGGCTTGGAACCTCTATTTTCCTTCTGCCATGGCTTTGGGTTCACTGATCTAGAATGAAACAAGTGGATGGGGCCTCAGAGGCCATTTGATTTGGCCTCTCCTTCCCCGCCTCATATGGTCAGCCAGGCAGCGTCTGACTGGTCAGCCGGCCCGTGAGCCAGGCGCAGACTCCAACCCGGTGCTGCAGCAGAGAGCTGAGGTACTGGCCCAGGTCACCTGCTCCTTAGTACCTGAGCCAATCTCTGGTCCCCCTCTCCCCCCAGCCCAAGCGTCTCCTTCACCTCAAGGCTAAGCAACGCCCCCCAAATCCCCAGATCTTGTCCCCCCACTTTTCCTTAGACCTTGAAGTCTTTTGCTACCCTGACTAGCATTTGGAGGGGCCCTTTGTTCCCTCCCCACAGGACCTGAATCCCAGCTGTTCCCAGCCCCTGCCAAGGACTGGGGCGCAGAAACCCAGCTACAGTTACCTTCCTCATTCCTGTTACTTGGCTCCAACTTCTGGGGGGGAGAAGCGTCAACCCCTGTGTATATATTTGCTAAGTTCAAGGATCCCCCTCTTCTTGCTTTTACTTCCACTCACTGATAGTCAACTTGATTTCAAATACCCACCAAGTTTCCTTTTGAAAAAAGACTGAAAATGGGAATACAGAATGGTCTGATTTGTTTTTAGTTCCTCTTTCAGACTGAGGCTTCATTTTCATATGGGAACATCAGCCAGAACTTATAGCTCTTACAAGAGTTCAGAACAGCCCGAAACATCTGCCCTTATCCACCTCACTTGGGCGTCTTACCCACGTGACTGCAGGGTGTATTTTAAGAATCCATTTTACTCAAGATGGGGCTGGCATGAAATGAAAACAAAATGGGGGGGCCGAGGGGTGGGCGGGGCTCTGGTGCTGGGGCTCACTTGGCCCCGCCCCCAGGGCCCCTGAATTAGTTCAGTTTCAATGTGTCTTTCAGCAAAATGATGCTTCAGCACCCAGGCCAGGTCTCTGCCTCCGAAGTCAGTGCCTCTGCCATCGTCCCCTGCCTGTCCCCTCCCAGGACACTGGTGTTTGAGGACTTTGCTAACCTGACGCCGTTTGTCAAGGAAGAGCTGAGGTTTGCCATCCAGAGCAAGCACCTGTGCCATCGGATGTCCGCCGCGCTGGAATCGGTCACAGTGAGCGACAGACCCCTGGAGATGTCGGTCATGAAAGCGGAGGTGGGTTCTGTCTGCACCAGGGCCTCGCACACTCTGGGAATAAAACGATGAAAGCACTGCCCCTCGGAGCGTCCGTCTACAGTCTCAGTCTGCCGACAGTGTAGAGAATAAACGCAGTGGGTCCTAGAGGAGAGGTGTACGAAGGAGAGCGTGAGAGGGCAGGGAAGCAGTCGGAGTGGGGTTTAGGGTTCCACATTAGGGAGGCTTCCCTGAGGCAGCCTTTCCTAAGACGCCGGCAACAGCAGACACAGTGGAAACTTCGAGGCGTGGCTGCTCGCGATGCCACAGGGACTCGAGGATGTCACAGCCAGTATCTTGCAGTGCCAGCCACCTTTCCATTGCGGTTGGAGGATAGGGATATTTCAAGCTTACTTAACTGGCATGATGGCAGCCTTTGGGCAAGAGAGAGTGCAACTGGCCCAAAGGTAGTGAATTTAAAAGAAAGTTGGGGGCCAGGGGTATGACTCGGCAGGAGAATGCTTGCCTACCTAGCATGTGCCTAGCACCAGAGAAAGAGGAAGTTGGTTGCTACTCTCTCTGATTCTGTAATTACTCCTCCCTCAGACTGATCGGAGATGACATTCGAGGAAGATCCAGCGGAGGGCCTGGAATTTAATAAGTGGGAGCTGGACTATAACGCTGTAGCTGTAGGCATCGTTCGAGGCACTAGCTGTGCCCAAATTATTGCCAGAGAGATCTACTCAGTGCTCCCCAGTGCCCAGTCCAGTCCTGGACAGCGCAGGGTGGACCACGGCACACTCCGGGAGAGGTCTTTCCCGATTAAATTCTTCAAGATAACAAGATGTCACAGTTGGAAGGGAAGGGAGAGAGGGAGGCGTGAGGAAAGGAAAAGAAAAAGTATTTAGAAGGGTTCTCCAGAGGAAAGGCAGGCAGTCTGCTTCCTGGGAACACCCTGGAAAGCCACAAAACTCGTCTGTTCTCATTCTGTTTTCCAGGTGACTTTCTGATCTTAGGTCAGGATCACAAGCAGTTATCTACTGGGAGGAGAAGGGACCAGCGTGGTAGAACAAGGCAGCTGAGGCTGGAAACTGTGCAGGGAGGGGACAAAACCCCTGGCTTTACATCAGGGTTTGCAGCCTCCTATTCTGGGGACAGAGAACTGGTGATTCTTGGGACTTCCTTGGGCACCTTTCAACTCTACACTCCCATTTCTTCATCAGGAAAATGGAGCTGAAGTAAATGGTCTGTAGAAAGCTCTGTGTTCAGAGCTGAAGCCCTTCCCACCTATCCAGAATATCTGTGGCGTTGCGAAGGAAATGACAGTGTTGTTCTCAGAAAGATATTGATGGTGCGGTTAAGTGTAGCAGCTGAAGCTTATGTGGTGCTTACAAGGAGCTAAATGGCATCAAAGCATCTCACATTTATTAACTTATTTGCCCCTTGTAGCAACCGGACTCAGTAGGTGGTGTTATTGATCCCGTTTTACAAAACAGGAAACTGAGGCTCCGAAGAGTAAGGTGCCCGTAGTCTTACAGTGAGTAAGTGCTGACACTGTAAAAGTTTAGCCTAAAGCCTAAATTTGACCCCATGTTACTCTGGGATCTAAGATGGGAAAGGTAAAAATTCCTCTTCCTCTACTTCTCCCTTGGGCTTTGCCTCTCTGCGTTACAAGGTCTCTGCCTCCGTCCAAGCAAAGCTGGTGTCATCTAATACTAAATAGCTAAAGAGTGACCGGGTGATTATGGAATCCGGCAGCTGCCAGGAATCCCACACCTTTGCCTCTGTCCAGAGCAGGGACCAGTGGCGTGACAGGGTCTGACACTGGCAGCCTAAACCGTCAGGTGCCGGGCTCTCCAACAGTGCCTCATTCCACCTCGACTTTGGTCTCTAAGCCAAGCCCAGTGGCTGGATGCGAGTTCCTCATCCATCCAGACAAAGCCAGGGACTGCCTTGGGCACAATATCCCAAAGCAGCAGGACAGGGCTTTGTCCTCTGGAAGCCCCAGTCTCCCCTAGGGGGAGGCACAGGCTTGGAGGTCAGAATTGATTTATTGGCTCAGTCAGTGGGTGCTTCTGGTTCCCCACCCACAGCCATGGGCTGATTTATGCCATCTTGGTTGGCATGGGCTCAAGTCCTTCGACTCCAGGAGCTCCACGGGCATCTCCCAAATTCAGGAAGTTGGTGCCACAGGGCTTCACATGAACACAGAGATGAGTGGAGTTGCCACTGGGTCTTGGATCAAAAAAGAGGCAGGCGGAGAGGGTGGCCACATGATGGTCTGGTGGTCGCTCCACGTTTAGGGGAAAGGGACAGTCTTACCAGAATCTGTTTCCTGTTCTAAATGATTATAGTTGGTCTCAATCATTATCAGTACTCAAAGTCCAAATCCGTATCTAGAATAGGTTAAGATTTTACTAGTAGTGCCAGGATCATCTTTATTTTCACAGCTGGATTTTGTTATTCGTCCTCAGGTATGCATCTGTGCGTGCCTGTGCGAAGGGGTTTCGTGTACAAGCTTTGGTGTCTTGGGTCCCTTGAGCGTACAGACTGTTCTGTTTTCCGGATTTGACTGGCGGTAAAAGACAGTGTGTTTGAAGTGGGTGTCATTTCATGGTACCATTAAATGTGCCTTTTGGATTTTACAGGCAGTCCCTGAAGAAGATGAAAGGAAAAAGAGGCGACGGGAAAGAAATAAGATTGCAGCCGCTAAGTGCCGAAACAAGAAGAAGGAGAAGACAGAGTGCCTGCAGAAGGTGAGTGCTCCCCGCCCCGCCCCTGTCCCCCGCCAGCCCTGTGTTGCTATCAGAAGGGGAGTCACACAGCCTCTACTTGCTCGTGTTTCTGCAAAGGGCCTCATGTTAGTAGCAGAAATGCCAGTTGCAGAATGAGGAGGTAGCCAAGCTGTTTGCACAGCGGATAGGACGCTGGGTGTAGGAAAAGCAGGTGAATTAAAATCCTTCCATGGCTACCCCAGCAGCCTCAGCCAGTCCGCACACTCCCAGCAGCCTCCCGGCCAGAACACTAAAGAGGCTTCACCAGCTTGTTTTCCCAGGAGGAAGCTGCCAGCCCTCAGTTGGCTCATTAATCTCCTCAAAAGCAGTGGTTATACTTTCTTTGGGTTCCTATCTCCTGCCTCACACAGCCTTTTGAGCCCTGGCTCCTTGGGAACACCGGGGGGCAGTCCACCTGGGCCTCGGAGCCCAGAGTCTTCCCAGTGTCCGTGTCGCTGCCCTGGAGTGAACTGGTCAAAGCAGAGGGCTCTGAGGCCCTTGCTGTTGCTTCAGTGGGTCTGTAAACATGAGGGAACTTGTGTGCTGCCGAGTACATTGTTTCTGGGAAGGTGAGCTTCTTAGTGAGATCAGTGACCCCCAAAGACTCAGCACCGAGAGTCTGGATTTCTCCCCAGCCCTTTGGGGCTTGGTGCCCTGCATGGGGGCTGTTGGGCCATGCAGAGATCTCTGAACTGTTGATCCTACTGCAGCTTTGGCCCTGGTAGCATCAAAGCCTCCTTGGTGGCATCTCCAGAGCGTCTCTGAAGAGGGCCCCAGGTTCAAAGGTTTCTCCGGGCCTGCACGCTCCCCTCCCTAGTCTTCACGGGACAAGGTTCCCTCTGCAGGTGCCCGCCAGCTTGGTGGGCCCCAAGGTGGCTCCCTTCCTCATGCCTCTGCCACTTGTCCCTCAGGAGTCAGAGAAGCTGGAGAGCGTGAATGCCGAGCTGAAGGCGCAGATAGAGGAGCTGAAGAACGAGAAGCAGCATTTGATCTACATGCTCAACCTGCACCGGCCCACGTGCATTGTCCGGGCTCAGAACGGGCGGACTCCCGAAGACGAGAGAAACCTGTTTATCCAACAGATAAAAGAAGGAACATTGCAGAGCTAAGCAGCCGTGGTGTGGGGGCAACTGGGGAGGCCTCAGTGAATCCTCCTTTTCCACCCAAAACCCTGAAACCATTGGAAAGCTGACTTCCTGTGCACCTCTAGAATCCCAGCAGCTGAGAACCATGGGGGCAAGAGGGCCCGTGGCATCTCTGCTGGGCCTCCCCACTCTGGACCAGGGCAAGTGCATCCTTTGTCTCAACTCCAGGATTTAGGTCTTAACATACTGGCCGTTCTTTGCCGTCCAAATGACCCCTGGTTAGGGTCCTGCCCATCCGTCAGGATTCACGCAGAGTGTCTGTACTTCGGGTGGGCGGGGTGGGGCCATCTCCGCAGCAGCTGTCCAGTGTCACTCAGGGCACGCGGAGTGAGAGTGACATGCACTGAAGTTGTGTGATGGCCAGGGCTGTGCTTTCTAGCAGATACGCTGCTGTGTTCCGGAATCACTGTGCGCAAGGTACCCGTTACCAAACTAGGTGTCGTTGTGCTCTTTTGATGTCTCTTTCTGTGATTACCCTCAGGCTGGCGCCTGAGAGTATGGGGTCTTGTCGCCATGGGTGGTGTCTCACGCGAGTGTTCAAGTGGCCCGAAGAGCTTGGCAGCCCCAGAGAGCAGAACCGTCCTGTGGGCCGGTAGGGTGAGGCCTCCTTTCCTGTGGCACCCAGGCATACGGAGCAGCCAGGGGCAGGGCTGCAGGTCCTGTTCAAACTCAGTTATGGTGTCCTGGGAAGAAAACAAAGTCCAACCTGCAAGAGCTGAGATCTCTCTGCTCAGTGACTTAGGTCAGGAGTTATTCTTAGGCCAGAAGAGCCGAAGACTCTTGCGTTCCCTTTTCTGGTGGTCAGAAGCCGGTCGGTGGAGACACACGGTGGGAGCCAGTGATGGCCGGGCCTTCACGTTACTGGACGCTCACGCGTTGTTCTTGTCATGTAGCTGTTTGAAGAAACCTGGCCTGGAGCATTTGCAGCTGTAAGTGTCACACGGGTCACAGGACTCTGGCTACTGTCTATTCAGATTCTGATGTTTCTGTGAAATCCTCAGAGTGTTCGATCCTACTCAATAGTATCATTACAATTTTCTGTAAGAGAAAATATTACTTATTTATCCCAGTATTCCTGTTGGTGTAATAAATATTGGAACCAAGACGTGGTAAATGTAAATGTTGTGCTGGCTTCTGTTTTTCCATATCAGTGGGTTGTTGAAAACTAGGCACTCCCCACCTGTCCCCGCTCCATGACTGTGCTGATTTACTTGAATGTCTCAGGGTATTAGCCTTTGTTTCTTGGGGCACCACCAGGTGGGACGGTTGATTTTCAGTTGTGTTCCTCAGACTAGGGCACCTGAAGCTCGATTTCTCCTTGATGCTCCAAGTACACCCTTTAGACCAGCTATTCAGGACTAAGACATAAAATCCGAATTGCTCTATACTTTGACTGTCAGTTTCTCTGAATGTACAAGTGCCTGCAACACCTGTTGTCCAACTCTAGCCTCTGACACCCCCCTTCTCGGCACTGTGCTCCTCTGAAGGAATTACCTGCTTGGACTACAAGTTCCAGGACATCCAAAGCATGTCTCGGTGTTACAGATGTATTTCAGATATCACAAAAGAGTAAGGGGGACAGGCGAAGAGAGAACAGTTTGGGGAAAGACACATGTGGTAGTTTCAAGAAAGGTATTCTACTTAATTTTCAAGACTTCCCACACCAAAAAAATGAGCCCTCAGGTCTGGAATAGAAGCAGGCTCCCTTGCTCTCTGCTTGGACACAAACCTCACACTCCTGGGCCAGAGATGAAAGTTGACCGTGCTGCTACTATCTCTATGATATTCTGCAAACACTGACTTCCTTCATCAGCCTGAGCGCTGTGCCTGCTTCTTTGGACTCATGGATAGTTCCCTTATATGACCCGCTATGATGCAGGCTTATGAATTGTGCTGTCTGAAGTGCACATCGGGGTCTGTTCCGGCTCTGTAAAGATTCACCTGAGTCAACTTGATCGGTTTGGGAGCCACCCTCGGGATTAGTAAAGCACACTTCTGGGTGTGTCTCTGTGGGTCACCAAGGTGTGAAATTAGGGACTATACCTGACCCCAGGCCCCTGCCTTTGGCACTGTTCCCCTGCTCTGCTGACCCACTGCCATCTGCTAAACATCTTTGTCCTGCCTTTCTACCAGGATGTTTCTCCCTTAGAGCCAGCCAACCATGGACTGAATCCCTTGAAACCAGGAACCAAAGAAGTAAACGTCTCTAAGTTGTGGGTGTTGGGTATTGTGTCTTCGTGACAGGAAGGCAGATAACACCCCGCATTAACCCTCCGGCCATGGGTAGAGGTGCCACTGCCAGCTGCTATGAGATTCAAGACCATTGTAAACTGCCACGGACACAGTGGATTAGAGGGAAAGGGAGAACTGGCGGCGGGGAGAAAACTGACCTGAGAATTGCACTGTGTGGTTAGTGAGACCATGAGTTCTTTTAACAAATGCATTCGAATTAGTTGTTTTATGTACCCAGGTTTATGTTTTGATACTTTAATAAAGAAAAAGATGAATATGTATTTATCATATTTACTTGGTCCATTTTATTTCACATTTGAAGAAATAGGACGGTGGGGGAGTTCAAGAATGTAAGTACAGATGCAGGTGCCACCAAAATTAATACCTGGGTGACAGTGGCCCACCCTTCAGCTGCCTTCTGTGTGACATCACACTGGCAGGGCCTAGAAAGCCACCCTCCCTCTCTCTGCACCTTGCCCTGACATCTGTCCTGTCATCATTTCAGAATAAACAGTCTGAAGGGGTCTGGCTCAGGACAGGGCTTTGGAATAGAGTCCTTCCCATCAAGAAGTAAAGTGGTAACCTTTTCCCAACCGGATCCTCATCTCTGTGAGCTTTGAATAAACCCTCGACCCCTAAACCCACATCAAGCTCTCTCCTCTTCCCCACCCAAGGCTCCTGAAAAGGAGGCCTCGTAAAGGAGGCTGAGCAACCTGTGTCTCATGGTGGCTCTGAGTCTGGAAGCCCTTCCAGATCTCTTATGACAAACTGCACTTGGGATGGGATTTCTGCCAAACACTACTGAGGACTAATAGTAGCTCACGTTTATCAAACAGGCAACGTGCTAAGACTTTATACGCATCATCTCCTGTGTGTCAGCTGTCACTGTAGCAAAACACCTGAGAGGTTCGGCGTATAAAAAGGGAATGTGTACTCTGGCTTTCGGTTTTGGAGGTTCCAGTCAATGGTCAATTGACCTCATTGCTTTGGCTGTAGGGAGGCAGCACATTATGGCGGCCACATGGAGCACAGCAAAACCACTCACGTTGTAACCAGGAAGCAGGAAGTACAAAGGAAGGGGCCAGAGTCCCACAGTCTCCCTGCAGGGCTCCCCCAGTAACCTGAGCACTTCCCTCAGGGTGCCCCTTCCCGAGGGTCCCCCCATCTCCCAACATCCCCATGCTGGGACCGAGCCTGTGACACGGGCCTTCGGGAGACACTCCAGATCCAAACTGCGGCCTTCCAGTTGGTGCTCACCACAGCTGCTACCCCATCCTGCAGGAGGGTAAGTGGACAGAGAGCAGCAGCCTGCTCAAGGTCACACAGTTGGAGGCACTAAAACAGAAGCCTATTTTTTACCCATAAAGCAGCCCCTGAGCAGTCACCCCTGTTTCCTCCTCCATCTCCTCACTGCCTCTTGGCTGCCCTGGGCGAGCCATACAATCTGTGGCCTTAGTGTTCCGCGTCATTCCTTAGCGGGCTGTTAAGGCGCGTCCTCTTGGAATCACGCACCCGTACTGTCCCTGCTTGCGGCTGAATAACACTGGATGATTCCTACTCTGTATCCTGTGTAGCCATCCATTGAGGGACAGAGAGAGCCTCTGTCCTCAGGCAGTGACTGAGGTGAGACTTCAGGCATAACAGCCACTGAGGAGAGAGTTGGGCGCGGGTCCTTTTCCGAGCTTTCATTATTCTGTGGCTCGCTGTGTGCCATGGCATCAAAGAGGTAGGCATAAGGGCACACGCTCCCGGCCAGTGTACATGGCACCAAGTCACTGCCACATGGCAGGGGAGTTGGTACCAGAGGGTGTTTCACAGGACCCTGGAATTTGCAGTTGTACCTCCAGCCCTGCTCCCACAGCCCAGCATTTCATGGTGTAGAAGTCTGAAGTGGTCCTGGGTTCTCCATCTTACACACGCGCAGGCACACACACAATTTGCTATGTAACTTCTCATAATGCACAAAAACGGTCCCCTGCGGCAATTAAATGGATCCTCTTTGAAAACATTTAGTGAGCCTGATCTCCTCTCCAGGCAGAGTACTGCGGCAGTCTAGAACAGGGGTTTTGGATCAGCTGGACCTGGATTCTCACGATAGCATTAACTTGTGAATGCAGCTGAGTAACACGGCTCCGGTTTGCTTTCCTGTAACATGAGATCAGCAACAATGGTGCCAAACTCATTGTGCCTCACCGAGAACAGGCAAAATGCACAGTACAGTGCCTGGGAAAAGCAACCCTTCATCATTACTTTAAATATTAGTTACTGAAGTTCAGAGTTATTATTAAAGCTCAGGATCATCAAGATTTACTGAGATCAGTGGAAGGGCAGGCTAAGGGGCAAGACCACCAATTTTAGGTTATCTCATAAAATTAAGCCGTGATGGTTCAAATCTACCCCCATCATCTCACATTTTTATACTTTGTGTACTTGTTGAATTGGTTTTTTTGCACTAAGGATTGAACTCCAGCCTTTATACCGAGCTACATATTGGCCTTTTTTTAAAAAAAGAACTGTTTTATTTGAGACAAGTTCTTGCTAAGTCACCGAATTGCTCAGGCTCAGCTCAAACTTGTGATCCTCCTGCCCCAGCTTCCCAGACCACCAGGATGACGAGTGTGCCAACATCCCTGGCCAGTTGTTGAATCTTTCGAATTTGGAGAGGACAGGGAAGCATTCATATAAAAATTTCGCATTTGACAGAAGAAAAAAAAAAAAGTATTTTGGTGCTTACCTGAGCTCCTGACAGGGTGGTCCTGTCCTTGTGGGCATGGAAACAAAGGGCTGTGTGACAGGGACAGGTCACAAAGGCAGGGGAGGATAAATACAGCTGTGCAGCCCTGGAGCCCAAGAGAGTGGACCCGGCTCCCACTCGGACTGCAGTCTGTAGCCTCCTGGAGAGAGAAAAGATATCACGGCGGAGGTGAGGGGCGCAGACCCCGAAGAAAAGCTCCCTGGAGCCCCGTGTCTCTGAAGAGAGGTCCAGATGCGAGCCGGTGGCCCTGGTCAATGCTCCCTGCTCCCGCGTTGGCCAGGCCTCCGGAGGCTCTGAGGCTGGGAGGGGCCAGCTGCAGCCAGGGACCCAGGACCACCAGCGCCCCCTCACCCTCCCAGGACACCGAGGCAGAGGGCCCCGGCCGGCGGCCCTGTCGTGACAGAAGATGGTCACGAACAGTGAGTCTCTGAGGCTACCCTACTACACCGCCAAGAGCGGCTCTGCGGCCGGCATGTTCAACACCAGCATGGGGAAGCTGCAGCGGCAGCTGCACAAGGGCGAGTACGACATGTTCAAGTACGCCCCGATCTTCGAGAGCGACTTCATCCAGATCACCAAGCGCGGGGAGGTCATCGACGTGCACAACAGCGTGCGCATGGTGACCGTGGGCGTGGCCCGCACCAGCCCCATCCTCCTGATCCCCGACGTCATGCTCCTGGCCCGGCCGGCCGCCAACTGGGAAGAGCTCCAGGGCCACGGCCAGGCCTCCAAGAGGAAGAAGCTCAGGGCGGGGAAGCCCCTGGAGCTCACCAGGCTCCTCCCCTTGAAGTTTGTAAAGATCTCGGTTCACGACCATGAGAAACAGCAACTTCGCTTGAAGTTCGCCACGGGCCGCTCCTGCTACCTGCAGCTGTGTCCCCCCCACGATGCGGGCGAAGACCTCTTCACCTACTGGGAAAAACTGATTTACCTCCTGCGGCCGCCCGTGGACAGCAACAGCAGCACCTACGCCACTCCGGCCGAGGACATGCTGTGTATGCCTGCGCTGGCCGAGGAGGACAGGGCCAGCCTGGCCTCCCCGGACGCCCAAGGCAAAGGCGAGCAGGACCAGGTCAGCATCCGGAGTCTCCACCTGGTCCCCGAGGTGACCCGGGCCTCCTCTGCCTCTTATGCTGGTGGGGAGGAGATCCAGTCCTGCTCTCACAGATCCACCGCCACTCCTACTAAAGCTTCCACCCCAAAAACAAAATCCACGGAGTCTCCCAAAGTGTTAGCACCGGGGCCAAAAGGAGAGGCAGCGGCAGCTGGGGCGGCGGTGGCTGCAGGGACGGCGTCAGGCACCTTGAGCGTGGCAGCAGCCAAGTCAGGCTCTGGCCAGGTGAGCACAGCCCTGGCGGGGGCCGCCTCCCTTGGGGTAGGAGGAGGCAGAAGCCCCGTGGTGGGCACCGGCAAGACATCCCCAGAGAGCATGAGTGTCGCCTTGGCCGGGGCTGTGGGCCTGTTCTCGGAGCCCGTGTCCCGTGCAGGAAGCTGCTTCTCCCCAGAGGACAGCATGAGCGCTGCATTTGCAGGAGGAGAAGCCACCAGCAAGGACACTGGGGAAGCGGCCAATGCCCTGGCCGTGAGAGTGATGGCGAGTGCAGGCCCCGGGGGTGCGGAGGCTGGACAGCAGGGCGCCCCCCAGGCCAGCAAGGCCACCCGCAAGGAACACAGGGAAAGGAAGGAGAGGAGAGAGAAGGACAAACCCGTAAGTAGGAGTTCCTATCACCACAGGACACAGGAAGATCGCCACAAGACAGAGGGGGACAAGATGGCCCGGAAGTCATCCAGCCGGTCCTTATCTGGCCACAGGACACACAGAGTTAATAAAAAGGAAAAAGGCAGCCATCACAGTGCCCGGAGCAGCAGGGACGGCCGCACCCCCCTTGGGAAGGAGTCCAGGACCTCGCACAAATCTGGGAGGAGCTTATCCACCAAGAGCTCGGTGTCCACGCCCAAGAGAATCGGCAGGTTCAGCTCCTTCCTGAGGAACATCAGGGCCAACCTTGTCACAAAGGGGGCAGCCTCACTGCGCGGTGGCGACACGGACATCGTGTCCAAGAGGGTGGAGAAGACCGACATGGAGGCCGTCATGGAGACAGCAGAGCACGGCCAGGGAGTGGAGGTCATTCATTGTGTGACATCTGAGATCATTAAGACAGTGACCACAGAAGCCAGTTAAATAGCACCCAGAGTCAGAAGCCATGGAGGGCCCCAGGAGCACCCCGAGAGAGCCTATTCTATTTCTTACTGCAGGTGAAATAAAGAACCCTTCAGCCTGAGAACGGTTTGCCATGGTCTGTCTGAGCGCGCTCCTGTCAGCTCAGGAGCGACCTCACAGGATTCTGTGACATCAACTGTGCTGCAGGCTAAAGCCCCCTGATCCAGTCAAGGGGACCCTTCACCCTGCTCAGTAGAGCTGAGATGACTTCTCCCTCTTGCCTGGAACCTTCCTGGCTTTGGTGACCCTGGGCTGTGGCTGGGAGGCATGGCTCTTTACCTCCATGGTTTCCTGAACCCTTTTGAGAAACTTTCCTGGAGAACAGGGCCACTCAGAGGTCTGGGAAGGGCATCAGCCGCAGCACTGGTTATCAGAACAGGGAGGACATTGTCAAACTGAACCGCTCCAAGACTTGGCAAACACCCGGGAGAGACACACCTATGTCGTAGGAGCTGGCTGTGAGACCGTGCATAGTGAAACACTGGCGACGACCGGTTCCCTTCTGAGCTGACATTACAGAGGGTTATGGAGGCGGTGCTCACAATGACAAGTGAGGGGCAGTGACACACGCTCTCATAGACACATTCGTGCATCGCGATCTATCACAGGGGGTCACATGGTGTATTGCACACGTCTGGTAGACCTGGAGTCAAAAACCAGGACACGGCCAGTACTAGATTCGGCCCAGTGGCTTTCTCTAAGGTGGAGAAGCCAGCGGTGGGAACAAAGAGTGTGGCAATGTTAGGAATTCATTTATTAAGGAGGTGGGGCCGAGCGTTCATTATTGTTTCCCTGTTGCACTCTCACATCTCTGAAATCAGCCTGGCTGTGACAGATGTGAAGAAGCCACTGTTGCCCCAGACAGGCCTTTCCCGACCCCTTTCCCTTCTGTGTGCGCCCAAAGGCTCAAGTTTTTAATGGTTTGTACAAAAAGCCAGGGTTGGCTACTCGGAGAGGAAGTGATGGCCGCCCTACTTTACAGATGGGGACACTGGGGCTCAAGACGGTAGCTGGCCCTTTGCCCTTGGGGCCTTTGCAGAACAGCATTACACACCCACTGCTTTACGCAGTCTGGAGCTTATGAAGGAGGCAAAGTGGACAGGTGCAGAGACACAGGGGTGCAAGAAACTTCGATCTCTCCAGAGCCAAGCACTGAATTTCCTGAATTTAGCTCAGGGAAAGATGGGGCAGGGGTTCGGGTCTCAGGGAACGTGCAGCCGCGCCTGGCTCCCAGCTTCCCTCCAGCTGTGCCTGCCCACCACACGCTGCAGCTGAAAACATTCCTCTTGTTGGGGTTCCGGGCCCCAGCAGCACCCCGTCACCACTGACCAGACTTTGAAGCCCAGTCCTCCCAGCTGCAGATCACACACTGGAAAAGTCAGGACCAGAAGTCTTTCCTTCTCTGTGCCAAGCCTGCAGGAACCTGTGAAGGAGGTGTGAGACTGCTTATTCCTAAAAGTGCTGGGGAGGAGCCACAGACTTCAAGGAGGAGTGAGGAGAGGGCTCTTCTGTCACTTGAGGGAATGGCAGCACCCTGTAGAGAAGGACAAGGGCCCAGGGACTACCCACATCCACATCTCCTCCATGAAACAAAGTTCCTGACCCCAGGATGAGGAATTACTGGAGTGAGTCAAGTTTTTCTTAAGAAAGGAGGGAACATGCCAGAGATTAGATACTAATCAGCCCTGGGAGGAAAACAACTTCGGAATCATTAACCCAGACCTCCATAGCAGGGGGCGGGGTGGCAGGGAGGTGAATTAATGGTTTACTCCTGACCACCTTTCTCTTTGATTGGAAAGGTGGGGAAATTGCAAAAAGATCACACTGCATTCCTCCAATCTGAGATTTGCACACAGGCAAGTGTGGGTAAATACCTTAGTCACCTGTAGAGTTCTTGAATGTACCTGCTCTCTTCCAACACGCACGTCTCTCCATTTAGCTGACCAGCAGATAGGGGTTCTGCACACCCAAGGGACTTATTCAAGATGCAGGGGGGCCACTCCAGTGTACCCCTATCATGCAGCACCCACTGTGCGCTGGTCCTGGGTCTCCCACAGTCCTACAGAGCCAGTGGAGGACACAGGGCAGGGTTGGGGGTCAGTATTACAATATTGGGGTACAGACACGAGGAGAGATGCATGCTGGGGACAAGGAGCCGTGCACAGGAGGGGTTCTGGGTCTGGAAAGGCTTCACAGAGGAACTGGGCGTTGTGAAGAATGAATAGGGTAAGGCACAGGGGGTGAGGGAAAGGCTGGAGGAGGCACCCAGAGACATGGGGAGAGAGGACCCGGCGGTGGAAGGAACGCCTCTGAGGTACACGGGCTCTGAAACATCACCGTGTGTTGGGACCATTGCAAGTACGAAGCGTGATTCAAATTATGGCGAAGGTTTAAAGTATTTACGGCAGTAAAAGACACACTGACATGAACCCTCCTCAAAAGCACTGCCCCTTGCCTCGAACACATTCCTGTCACGGTTCCTGCCACTTTCTGAAGCAGGTCTGGAAGTTCTCTTTCCTGAGGGTCTCTTACGAGACAGGACCAAACCACAGTGAATGCTGCTGCCCAGTGACAGCCAAGAGAAAGGCAGGTCCTCCCCTCGTGCACCCTGTTCACCGGATCTGCACTGTGCGACTTCCGACTCGTCCCCAAAGTAAAATGACCATGAAAAGGAAACGTTTAGCATCCGTTAGGACACAAAAGAATTCCAGGACTGCTTCAGAAGGTGGCAAGAACCATGGGATAAGTGTGTTTAAAGCACGCGTGTGTGTGTGTTGTGTGTGTGTGTGTGTGTGTGTGTATCAGTATTTTGAGGGAGATTTTGTCAATGGGTCTTTTACTACATTTTAAAAAATTTAAATATTCGTTGTATTTTTTGGCCATGCCCTGTATTTCAGCCTTGACAGCTGCAGGGCCAGGAGAAATGAGGGAAAGGAAGTGGAGGATCAGGCAGTGGCCCTTGGGACTCCAGGGGTCTTGTGACTGTCCCAGCCTGTGGTAGTCACTGAAGACCGGTGTCCAATGGCAGTAAGATCCTGGGGCCCCAGGGTGGAAAGGAGAAGGGCAGGGGGCTGTCAGAGAGGCAGGAGATACCTCGAGAATCCCAGCCAGAAAAGGGGAGCCTGTATGTAATTTGGGTGCTGCAGGGAGGTGGACCGGGCCAGATGTGAAAGCAGTGAAACAGAACCTCCAGGTGGCAGAACTAACAGAAGCAGAGGAGGGTGGAAAGCAGGAAGAAGTGTGTAAACAGAAAACAGCGGCTTCTAGACAGCAAAGAGGTCAGACACAAAGACGACAGCGGCCTTTGGCATCAGAGACCTTAATCGCTCCCAGACGCCCTTATAGGCCCGGCTCAAGGCGCCCACCAGAGCCCCCTGTGGCCACACGCTGTTACTGCAGGCTGTGCTTGACGGAGGCCTCAGTGGGTCAGTCACTCTTCCTTTTTGTCGGACCATAATTTGCCTCATGCTGATTCCCTGACAGTCAGCCCATCCTTCAGGCCGCAGCCACTCCTGCAGTAGGAGGCAGGCAGAGGAAGGAGTTGGCAAAGGGGATGTTTCTCACATCCAGGCTGCTGCGTGGCTCTAGCTCATTGGCCGTCAGATGGCAAAGTGTGGAATGGCTACTAGACAGCCCCCTGAAAGGCTCCCTGAAACCCCCCAGGTTATTTTTGCTTTTTGGAGACAGGATTTGGCTATGTATTCCAAGCTGGCTTCACACAAGATCCTCCTGCCTCATCCTTCTGAGTTCCAGGATTATAGGTGTGCCACCACACCCAGCCCCTCCACCCTAATTATTATAAGTGAGACTTGTAATCCAGGGGTGAGGTGGGGTGCACAACCCGGGTCTCCAAGAGCAGAAGGGCAAAGCCCAGACTCTCTCCTTTACCTGTTTAGAGAACCTGGAAGGCTACTCAGTAGCACCTGACCCACAGGTGTGCCAAGGTGTTGCCACCCCTCCTCCTGGGGCAGCTGGAAGACAATACCCATTGGTGCCAAGGGCCCCATCTGGTGCTGTCCCCAGGCTGTCATTTCCTACAGCTTCCCAGGCCTGCAAAACCGTAGGAAGCATCTTTCCAGATGTGCAGGCGTGCAGGGGAGCACGAGCCCACCGCCCGCCTCTTCTCCCACGACACTCTCGGCCCAGAGCACCGCCCTAATGCAGTGCACACAGGCTCGAGGAGAAATGAGGGTGAATACAGTGAGTTCCTCATAAAACTTTTCATAAAGCTAAATCTGTCCCTTAGTATTTTGTTTTGCAGCACAACATGCACAGAAAATGCCTGAGCGGCGAGGATCCCCCTCAGTACCGTGTCATGGGCCCAGCACATGGGCCCGGCATGAACAGGGTCTTCAGTGCATCCCGCAGACGCGCCCCCCCTTCCCTCTCCTGCACGCCTCCCAGGGGAACCCCTGACTGCACTGCCCGTGCCATCCATGCATTTTGCTTCCTTTTCAACTTTACATAAACAGAGTTACAAAATAACCACTCTGTGGACTCTGGTTTCTTTCTTTCCCTTGACAAAGCGTTGATGAGATTTGTCTGTGATTTTTAGAGCTATAGGGTGCTCTCACCGCCGCACAGCATCTGTGCACGAATGCTCTACAGTTCCTTAATTCGCCCTGCTGTTGGTGGGCATCCCAGTTGTTTCCAATCTGGGACAGTAGCGAACACTGCTTCTGTGAACATTTGCTCAGTACTGGGGGTTGAGCCCGGGCCTCTGCACTGAGCTACACCCCCACCTCACCCCTTTTTGGGGACAGGATCTTGCTAAATGGCCCAGGCTGTACTCAAATTTACAACCCTCCGGCCTCAGCCTCTAGTAGTGCTGGGATTGCAGGTTTGCACCACTGCACTGGGCTAACATTTTTGTAAAATGTGTAAATGTTCATAAATTTCTGTTTGGCATATTCTTAGGAATACGATGAGATATATGCATGTTGTCAGCTTTAGTAGGTGCTGTGAAGTGGTTTTCCAAAGTGTTAAGTAAAAAAGAGCTGAAAACCAGGACCAGACCAGGACCATAACAAGCATTTATTATGGGGAGGATCTGCA